TATATTGATGTACAGCGTTCAGCAGGGTCATCGTAAATTTCATAGAAGCAGTGCATACACAGCACTTATAAACAGCAGTGCTTGCCTGTTTTTCATCAAATGCTGTCCTGAAAGACAGTAATGCTTTATTCAAAAGTGTATCAACACACCTGTTCCCTCAATATAATTTTGCAGGCAGAATCCTGTCATTTTACCAATGACTACTTGAAAAATATCACTGCTAGACACAGTCCCAGCTAACATGGTGACTTTTGTAATGGTCTATAAATGCTGCTCTTGTAGCTAAGTACTTAAGTATCTACTTATTTCCGAACAACCTACTCTCCAAGAACAAAGCATGTAAAGGAGCAAAGTAGTTCACTATTTTTGGAAAGACAGAATGATTTGAACTTGACATTCCCCTGCAAAGTGTTCATAAATATTATAATGGATTTTTTTTTGCACATCATAAGGGACATCACCGCACTTGAATATATGAGGCATCCAGGGCAAACCATGTACTTCAATGATGAGCTTGGACACATTAACAAATCTACAGAATGCTTAAATACACTGACCATAAAATGTATGAGACTGCATTCAGAAAATTTTTTTAACAGTATATACAGGACAGCTTTTAGGCTTGTTTAAAATAAATTAAACACGAGATTATATCCATTCTTTTTCATACAGAAGAGGGGTAACATGTGAAAATCAAACAATGTTTAAGACTATATAAGACGTTCACTAATAGCAATATCCCGAAACTTGGCTCAATAATGAACAAATAGATTTGCAGATACATACTGTACAATCATTTTTCATACATAGAACACCAAAGGGTACAGCATTATGAGAGATAAGAATTACAAATCAATATAAAACAAAATGTCTTTTGCCATTAAAAATATCATGGAATGTATCATAGTGAAATTGTAAAGTCGAAAAATCAAAAAATATACTCAGAAGCTGCATGTATAGAAAACCAGGGTCTTGCATCGATGCTTTTAGGAAAAGATCATCAAAATGTATGATAATATTTTCAAGTTCATGGATCTGAAAATCGATTTGCTAAATCAACAAGGACACACTTTCACTGCAGAGTTTATCAATTCTGTTCAGTACAAGATATCAGTGACCAACCAGAATAACTACAACAGTGCTACAGCAATCCATGGACTAATGTAATACAGGAAAGAGAAAGGGAATAATAAAATGACACCAGATCATTTACCAATTTTTTTGCAATCATCCCGGATCTTATTATGACCAAGAAAGACATCAAAACCTATTAGACATATGACTTTGTCAACTCCCTTAAAGAAGACTTACAAAGACAAGACTGGAATAAAAGTTTATATAGATGATGCAAATGAAGCCTATGAAACATTCCTGTCCATAATATCCACACTGTTTGAAAAAAATTGTCCTCTGATAACTAAAGTAGTGAAACAAAAACACACTGAAAAGCCATGGATATCTAAGGGAATTTTGAATGCTTGTAAAAAGAAAAATCTATTATACAAAGAGGTTTTGGTGAACAACAGAAGCTGAGAAAAATACAAGACTTATAAAAATAAATTAACAAGAATCACCAGAAATAAAAAAAAAGAACTACAGTAAATTCTAAAGGACAATAAAAGAATAATGAAAAAGTAAGCATGGAATATCCTAAATGGTATTATTCCAAAGGGCCTAAGAAGGTAGGTTACCCATCCTACTTCCTAACAAAAGCAACACAGCTGTCAGTGATATGACATTGGTTGCCTGATGGGAATAACTTTTTTGTCAGTGTTGGACCTGATTTGGCAAAGGGATTAAAGACTAGTAGCAGAGTTGTGAAAGCAAAAATAAATATGTTCTGGAATCCCATGTAACACAGATGAAAAAAAGAACTTATTGACATAGTTAAAAATCTGAAGAACAAAAAAGTCTACCGACTGGATGGTTTAGATATGGATACGATTAAAACTATAATCGAACACATTGCAAAACCTCTGGGGCACATCTGTAATCAGTCCCTTCAACATGGTATATTTCCCAAAATGAAAACGGCCAAAGTCATACCTTATACAAGAACTGCAAACATATTCTATCAAATTACAGACCAGTTTTTGATTCCAAATTCTCAAAATCCTGGAAAAACTATTTTTTACAAGAATAGAAGAATTCATCAAAAGCATAATGTACTGTATGATCAGCAATATTCAGCAGGGGCAAACAGGACAACTTCACTAGCACTTATGATTTTTGCAAGAAATATCAACGACAATTGATGAAAGAAAATATTTATTTTTGGATCTTAAAAAGCATTTGACACAGTAGATCATGAGTTACTATTAAAAAAACTGCAAGCCTATGGAATCAGGGGTAGAGCACTCTCTTGGGTAGCAAGCTATCTGGAAAATAGAACTCAATATGTGGAAATACTACACTTCAAAATTACATTACCTGTGGGATGTCAGTATTGGGGCCTTTACTGTTTAATCTGTATATAAATAATGTATGTGAAGTATCAAAAACCATGAAGGCTATTATTTTTGCAAATGATACAAACATAATTTTTGTGGAGATAAATTCAGAACAACAACAAGGGAACAAATTCAAGAATTGGTTTGAACATCATTAAACAATTTAAGTAAAACTGTATCATTTTTTACTGAAAAAACACAAACAAAAAAACTCATGATAAATGATGTGTGAAAGAGTAACTGAAACCAAATTCCTTGGAGTAATATTAGACAGTAAACATGTTGGAAACCACACATACATTATATCAAGGCCAAAGTATCCAAATCAATTGCAATATTAAAAAACCAAGGATCTACTAACTCAATCAGCCTTACTGTTCCTTTATACTCCCATACATTACTTACTCTGAAGTATAGGGAAACACATATGTCCAACACAAATCCCATTTTCATCCTCCAAAAGAGCCATTCGATTTAAACAAATCTAGTTATAGAGAACCAACTAACCCAATCTTCATCAAACTCAAAAACACTCAAATTTAGTGATCTTGGTCTGTCTACTGCATCGAAATGTACCAACCAGTATACAAAGGTTGTTCCAATTCTTCCTGTGAATATGAATTAAGGGGAATTCAATGCTAAAAAACAATTAGTAAGACCAATTCAAAATATCATTTTAAACAACCAAAGGAATTTTTCTTATGGAATCAATGCAGTGATGAAATGAAAACATGTGGATCAATAACCAAATTTAAAAGACTCTTTAAAAAAAAACAAGATACTGAACAGCTATGAAATGGAATTGAGATATGGTCATTTATCTGTCTCTTCTTTTTTCTTTTGGTGGATTGAGTATTTTAGATTGCATTCACCCTGTCTTGCTATTATTATGTTTGAATGTGTTGTGTCTTTTGTATGTAAATGTGTATGTGTATACATGTGTATATATATATATAAATATATGTATGTGTATACAGTATATGTATTTATATAATTAATTGAGACTGTCAATTGGTTTCAAAGAGGCACAACTCAACATAGTTTAATGGAAAAAAGGGGTAGGTCTAGAAAAGTTTTTATCTTCTACCTACTTTTTGGCATGATGAGCATTTGATTTATACATGTTTACCGATAATTTGACCAATTTGTTTATTATTATTATTATTATTATTTGTTAAAGCCTTGGTATTAGTATTACTACTGTAAATACTAATATGACTATTATTGTTATTATCATAATTATTTTATTGTTATATTTTTTTTTTCCTGTTTTTACCATGCTCAAAATAAACTTTCAATTCAAAAATTCAAGTACTTTAAGTATCTACTTATTTCCGAACAACCTACTCATCCAAGCATTAAAAGAGTTCACTATTTTTGGAGAAGTTCGTCATGTTTTGAACTTGACACATCTCCCTCAAAAGTGAAGGTAAATATTATAATGTTTTTTTTTTTTTTTTTTTCAGAAGTACATTTTTGCAATTATGGACACACCAATATGTGAATTCATCAACAAATCTACAGAACTTAAACTGTATGAGACTGCATTCAGAACATTTGTAGCATCAGCTGTAGGACTGCTTTAGGCTTGTTCACCCTTATCTGAGATTATATCCGTTCTTCACACAGAGGGGTAAGGTGAGGTAAGGTAAGGTATACTTTACTGTCCCCTGGGGGGAAGTTTGCCTTGGGAGCCAAGCTGCTGCAGATACATACTGCACATACAACCACAACACCATACAGCATTATGAGAGCGACATAAATCAACATTAAACAATCATCATAATAAAAATACCAAGAAAGGCATATGTTAAAAACAGTACAAGTAAGTGCAATCAGAATTTAGTGTCATAAGTGCTACTTAGTCATTAAAAGGAGATCATAAAGTGCTGCTTTATTTTCTGTTCATTGAACTGAAAAAATGCTTCACTCATAGCCCACAGTCATGAAGAGCTCTGCCGGATATCAGTGGCGATAACAGCACAGCAATCCAGGTAATGGCTGTATACAGGTCGAGAAAGGCCTCTAAAATCTCAGACAGAGCTCAAAATTTTTTTTGGCTGATCTCCACTCAATGGTAGGTGCTAGAACTTATATATTAATGGCAGTTTGTCATGGTTACAGGGCTTCTCATTAAAGAAAGATCAATGCTTGAGAGGAGGGTCTCCGGCACTGAATCTGAGAGCTGGTGAAGACAGCCTGCGATGACGAGGGCTGGTGGCACTCGGTGAGAAGTGGCCCTGTGACATTTCCAAGGCACCAGGAAGAAAATCAGGAGAAGTCGGAAAATTCTAAAGCCCATATTTGATTAATGAGAGAGTAAGCCTGATTCAAGCCTAGTGGTCCATCGGGCCGGTGCTTAACCCCGGTTTCGTAGCATGAAGCAACCAGGAGTATTACTACTCCCCCTGGATGGGATGCCAGTGCATCGTAGATACTCCCCCAGCTCTTAGTCAAGTTTCCCTGACTATTTGCTGGTACCCATTTATACACCTGGGTAGAGTGAGGCATGTAGTGGAGTGTGGGAGTGAAGTGTTTTGCCCAAGAACACACCGCGAGTCCGGGGCTTGAACTCAGGACCTTTAGATCCCAATTCAAGCCTACTTAACCACTGCACTATCGCGTCTCCCTCCTATTTGATTAATGGCTAAGACTGAATGATGTTTTCAAAGTTATTGTGGGCTCTTCAGCAGGGGTGAAAGTAAGATTAGATTCTTGCAGGAACTGTGCTACTCAAAAAATTTTTTTGCTTGCGCGCTCGCATCATATTAAAGATATTAAAGACTGCTCTTTTCTGACTTTGAGATTCTTAAATTCTGTGCATGTCCTTGAGTGCATGATGTATGATGTTAGACATGTAACGTAATTTATGGCAAAACATTTATTTTCTGGTAAAGTGCAAACATCATTTTTTGGGAAATAACATCAGAACAACAACAACAGAACAACTTCAACATCATTAAACAATGCAACAATCTGTTCTTTTTTTCTGAAAATGCTGCGGCAAGTGTTCTGTGAGCTGCACAGAAACTAGCTTACAGCCTACAGTAAATTTACACAAATAAAAAATTCATCATAATAACAGCCTACTGTGTACTGTTGTGTTCTGATATAGTAACATTGTCAGCCATTTTCCACAGAAGGATAGACTTCATGGCCCATCTCTGGTCTGTCTGCATAGCCTACCTGCTCCATCTGCTCTTCTGCATCTTCCTCCATCTGTTCCTCAACTGCCACTGTTTTCTCATCTCTCTTTCTTTTAAACATACAATCAATTTTTCTTTGACAGATTCCACAGAAAGTGTGACCAACAGGTCCCACTGTACTTGAACAGGATGAAATAATAAATTAATGGTATATATGTGGTTTATTTCATTGATAACGTAAAAACAAATGTTTACAGGAAGTTTTAGACCTGGATCACTGCAATTTTGGTAAAAAAGTGAATTTAAAAATTTGGCCTTGTTGCTACTGTTACATGGACGGAAAATTGGTTTTCAAAGGACCGAACTCAAACAGGGACAAGATTGTCTGAGCCAACGCCAATAATGGCACGATGAGCAGAGAAAAGGGAAGGCACACCAGTGACTAACCCGCTAATCCACAATAAGCAGGGCTTTGTTAAAGCCTGGATACCTACTCTTACAGTGACCTGAAATGCAGTTTTTACCCAGGATTATTTTGTGGCAATAAAATTCATACACTGGATAATTAGTCAATCCTGCCCACTCATTTCCAAGTTCCTCATCCACCTTGGAGTTCTGAGAGGAAGAAGGGACACTTTTTTGGGCCACCCTGTAGTATGGATGTGCCAACCCCTTTAAGTCAAACCAAGGTTGGCTTGATTCATCCAGGGATTGGAGTGAACCATGGACCTATAAGGAGAACTGGACAGACAACGAAGGCTGGAACGCACGCCTACATGGGCGTAGCGGTGAAGCTGATATTGCAGGTCACGTGATGCCATGGGGGCCAAAAAGAAATTTCTCCATAGGGAATAATTGAAAAAGACACGCTGATAAATCCGTGAATACATTTTTTCGAGAGCGGCATTTCAGAACTCTCTGTAATGAAGGTAATTTCTCAAGTATGTACACCTTTTTTTGCAGCACGGTCACTTGCTGTAAAAATAGACAACTGTCCGATTGGAAAATAAACATGAAACCACGAGTTGTCACCAGAATTACCTTCATTAAGCTGAAGAGTTTTGAATGCCGCACCAAAAAAAAAAAATTTACGCCGCTGAGTGCCAGTGCATATACCTAATTTTATTTTTTCTAAAATGGGATTTTGTTCTATGGTTCATTTCAGACGGGAGAGGGAGTTGGAAGTGCATGGCGAAAACGCTTTTTTTTTTTTTTTTTTTTTGAAGTTTCCATCACAAAAGGGGTAGGCTTGATTTATTTTTTTTTTTTACTACATACCAAACATTAAACAATTTGTCAATGTCAAGTATTAATAATAATAATACAATTCATGATTAAATTTAACAAAACAGATCCTCCCCTGACTGGATTTGACCTCATGCACGGGCAATTTTCACCCAACTTGAAACAGATGGCGACCTTCCTCTCTCCATCACGGATTTCGGTTTGAGGATTTGGGATATGAGCCTCCCGAAGGCAATGGCACCTGGCACACTGATTGGTTTACATGGCGTAACAAACCACGCCTATTTGTAGGTACAGTGATTTAGGGATATAGGCAGGTGTGCAAGATAGTTTTACGGGGGAACGCCTCTTGGAAATCCCCAAATAACGGGTTTAGGGACTCTGGTGTAAACATCCCCTAATGTTCGTGAGCAGCATCGGAGATCAATGGGAGTGATGCAGGTAGATTCGACGGTGTGGCTGATTTTCATCTGAACGAAGATAATACGAATCCTTAAAAAATGCAACAGTTGAGCATGAGACGAAGATCAAATAGATGTACAACCCCAATTCCTAAATAGTTGGGACGAAGTGTAAATTGTGAATAAAATCAAAATGCAATGACTTTCAGATCACATGAACCAATGTTACTCACAATAGAACATAGTTAACATTTCAAATGTTGAAACGGAGACATTTTACATTTTTATCCACAAAATGAGCTTCTTTCAAATTTTCTGGCTGCAACAGGTCTCAAAAAAGTTGGGACACAGGCAAAAAAAGGCCTGAAAAGGCTAGCCTAAATTATGCAGAGTCGGCCACTATCATAAAATTGAGTACCACAACTACAATCGATGTCAACTCGCACTTAGAAATGTAATGAGACAGTATTCAAATTATAATCAAGACAGACTTTATTGGAAAGGGAATTGTGGGGGGTTAGAAAGGCACGGCCTCCGGTTTGCTGACATACAGAAATTCATGGATGAACTGTTCAATGCACTCCGGCTCAGATATCTCTGGGGAATGACAGAAAAAATGAGCTTTAAAACAAAGGTAAAAATAACGCAGTACAATGTGTGTAACATTTCACGGTAGACCCACATTTTACTATACTCCACGGAACAGTTATAAGTAGCGCAAAGCTAAGTTATGTTAGCTAAAAGTAAATTAGCTTGCCAGAATTGACAAATGTTTAAGGCTCCTGACTTTAAAACAAATCGGTTTATAAGGCCCATGCAGTGCCTTGCGTGTTGGGTTTATTGTCTTGAATCCAGAGAAGATCATGGAATTCGCACGCAGACAAGCAAGAATCGTCTGACTCCATTAATGTGGTTATTCATCATTGAACTAAAGAGGACACGAGCCTGGGGCGCGTTTCCCAAAAGCGTAGTTATAGCAACTTATGTAGTTCGTCCATTCACAGTCAATGGTTCCAACTATGGAAGTCAGCATCTGTGATTTCGGGAAATGCACCCCTGAGCAACACGTCACGTTACGCAACAGCAAGTCAACTATTTTGCCGACAATTTTGAGTTGAAATCAATAATATTACTTCGCTGTTAAATAACAATCGTTTTAAACATATGATATTGCATTTTTTTCCGTTCCGCTCATACTTACATCAGGGTGCAGTCTGCAGTGGTCAGAATTCCATTTCCGGAGAAAAATTATCATGAACACGCACCCTGGGTCGGAGTTCCACGAGCGCGAGCCGTTGTCATGGACACCTCGGATACCAGCGCGTTCATGAGCACCACACTACGCATGTGTGAGCAAAAAGTCACACAGCGCATGTCCACGTCAGTCTGGAAGCTTGGCCCCCATGTCGGCGTGCTGCGCCATTGAGCAATTTCCATTGAAATGAATTGGCGGCCATTTTCCAATTGTATATCCAGTGAAATATAAAACATCCTTGGAGTGAACTCGTCCATATTCTAAACTCGGCTTGCTTGTGAAAATTCAATAACTGATCCAGGTGTGCCATCTAGTGAGAGAATATTGTAACTGCGTGCATAAATCTGCAGCTTCGTGTCCACTAGTGGACACAACTGCGCAAAAGGGTTTAAACACCCTGCCAGCAGCCGCCAAACCTCATTCACAGCAGTGCTGTACTAAGATTACAGGTTGTTGCTAATGTTATTACTGTGGACGGAAATTTTTACCTTTTTGATGAGGGACACAAACGCGAGTTAGTGAAAATTCTAGAAGGCCAGGAAGTCAACGTGCCCTCGCACATGCGCTTTACCCCGCTTTCAGACTACCGGTTGTTCTAAATGGGGACTTCAATGCGGAATGCAGAGTGAACGTTACGACCACACATCGGACAGAAATTACGTTCGCGGCCAAAACTGGCCTCGCGGCATGAAACAGGATATTTCAAAACGGTATCTAGCATAGTACAATAAAGAATGGGGAACATACTCCTGGCCAGACCTTCAGTAGTAGATGTACTGTTCTTTTCACAGTGGCCCTGTTGCTGACGCTGTGGGACTGGACAGAAAATTTAGTAACGTTCGCAACTGGATTAATGCATTGGATTCAGTGACTGGGACAATTTTCCATCCTGATATCGCCAAATTCCAGAATAAAGTCATCTTTTTAGAGAAAAGTAACAATAGAACAACAATAGCCATGCTTTTACAGGTAAAACAATTATTCTTTATTCTGTTGACATACTTTATTGAAAACACAGAGAGATGGTACATTTTATATTGGTTCAAAAATAAAAGTTGTCAATTGGTCACAATTTCTGTGGAATCTGTCCTTTGCATTTTGAACAAGTTGTGTTTTACCGTTCCCTGTCAAAAGGATACACGCCACCCCCAGCACCCAGCCTTGCATCACCTAGGCAACCAGCATCCAATCAAAAGAACGCATTGAATGTTCCCACTTTCCACGTGTGTATGTTTGCGGAAGTGAGTGGTGGACTATTCGCTCGCATGACAGAGTCATTCATGATTTAGATTGTTAATTGTGAAACCTCACAATTTATTACTTGGGGATTTTTCTTTTGTTTTTTGCAAAAACGACTGCTCACTGCTGTCTGCAAAAATCCACAGCACTCGAGTCACTACCACTGGATTAACGTTACAATGCAGTGTAGACTGCCTACAAGTTGCAACATATCACGGTAAGCGAGTAGCCTACTACAAATGATAACGTTTGTCCAGCGCACTAAAATCTACTTCAACACGTCACGGGCAGCACATTCTGTTGATGATTTTCATGTATTCATCAAATTTACATTTATTTC